TTGCATTTTCCAACGTCGAGTTGTTCTTTTTTTTCTTTCTTCTTTTTTTTTTTTTTTTTTTTACACGTAAGAGTGAGCTTTAAATCGCATAACGAGTGCAGTTTTATTTTCTTTCATTTTTTTTTCTTTTTGTAATTCTTTTCTTTTCATTTTTTTTTCTTTTCTTTTTTTTTTTTTTTTTTTTTTTTTTTTTTGATATTTTCGTAACCTTTTTTCTTTTTTTGTATGGTTTTTTTTTTTTTTTTAATTTTTTATTCCCCTTCAAAGTAAAACTTCATTTTCACGCGACAAGGCTTTAATGGTCGGAAATCATTTAAACCGATTCGATGTCCTTTCATTAAAATAGATTGCTTTCAAGTTGTAGTATCTCATTTCTGAAGGAAAAGATTTATGGATGTACCATAGTTAAGTAAATACATCGACTGTCGTAACAATTACTTTTTAGGGACGGAACCAGAGACATGAAATAAATCGTCCTCGCGACTCTTCGTTAGAAAAAGAAATTCGTAGATCGTAAAAGATTTTCTGACTAGAAAAGAAAAAGAAAAAAACTATATAACGTGGAAGCCTTGATCGTATGTCAGATCGATCGCATATATATCATTTGTTTGCATATTACTCTTTTGCCAATTCTTGATTTTACATCCGATATCTTTAATCTAGAAATGAGAGACGATTTAAAGCAAAAAAAAATTAAAAAAATAAAAAAATAAAAAAATAAAAAAAAACTCGAGTTAGAAAAACGTGCAAAAGCTTCGAATAGATCGGAAGTAATAGAGAGAAATCGTTATTCGTGCGACGACGGATTCGATACGAGAGAGAGAAAGAGCCAGAGACGAAAAAAGGATTTTTGAAGGAAAAAAGGCAGAGTAGACCGCTCGTATATAACTTGCTTAGACAACCATATTTTTTTTCTTTTTTCTTTTTTTGTTTTTTTTTCTTTTTCTTTTTCTTAAGTAGAAAGGGGCAAACGCTAGATCCGTTTAGAAAGGTCAATTCGTAAATGCGTACGCGCCTTATAATAGCGTGTGCGTGCGTGTTCGCTTGCGAGTGGATCACCGTTAACGAGTGGAGAGTCACGCCAACCTGACGACGAAGATGGTTAACAGAAGCACGACCAGGGTGGATCGGCTGAATTGCGTTGATGCACCACCGCAAATCTTTATCTCCATTTCCTCCGGATGATAATTTATACACTTTGGCGGTCTTCTCCGATAGAGCCGTTCTCTTCTCGCTGTACACGCTCCTGGTTCAGTCATAGCTTCGATCGGCTCGATGCTGAGTTGTTTGTTACCACAGGGACACAATGTGTCTACCACCAAGAGAATCAAATTCGTGTGATGTATTTTTTGCACGCTGAAAGGCCTGTCGAAAAGTCAATTCGTCACATATTACAAGGATTCATACCTATTTATACGCGATTACATCCAATCACGGAATAACTTACCTTTCGCATCCTGTAACATGGCAATTCGTGAGTTTTCCTTTAAGCGGATTACTTTGGCCGCTGGTATTGAGTCTTTCAGGCTGTAAGATATAAAGATCCGTCTTCTTTTCGCAAGACCTCAATTTGCGCGGTGGAAAATGGGCGGACGTGGCACGTGTAGTCGGTGGTGAAACGGGTATCGGAGGTGCGACTGGTATTTCCGAAAAGTGTTCTTTTCCTGATACAGATCCCGCGGTTGATTCCGCCGGTGCTATCGACTCCAAATTGTGAAGTTCAGCTAGTTCGTCGGCACCGTTGTTATTGGGATCGGTTTCAACGTCGGTGTCAGAAAATATCAGATCGTCTGGAAAGATCGGGTTATTTTCTATCACGATCGCATTTATTTATATCGATCGATCTATCGACTAACGGGCTAACGAATATAATTTACCATCGTTTTGCATGGAATGTGCAGCATCCTTGGCAAAGGCCATTACAGTACGCCAAATATCTTGAACGTTGAAGCTCACAAAAAGATTCCAAATGAAATTGCCGATAAGCGCGGTGCCTTTTAAAATAGATGCCGATGTCGTTCTTGGTGCTGACGAACGGTGACTTTCTTGAGGGCTGCACGTTCCCTGATAATCGATAACGGTTACCTTCCTGAAATAATAGATAATATTCGATATTATCGAGAGTACATAAGTAGAAACTTTGTATTAAGTGACAATGAATAAACCTGTATATCCTATCTTGTACCAAGGAATCCATTATGGTACCATCTATCTCGCCGAAAAATTTCCCGGTATGTTCGTGTCTCTCGCTTATAACGATAAATCCACTATTGTCGAGTATGTAACAGTCGAGTTCCTCCGACGCACAGTTTTTTTTGCAGCCAGACATTCCTGTACACTGTGGGAGTTAAAATTGCGAAATAAATTGTCATTGAAGTAAAATCAAAGCGACGGAATAAGGTTGAATGATTACCGTTGAAGTTATGTTAACGAAATGCGACGCCAATGAGGAATGTTGAAATTGCAATCCTACCACTGCAGCCGGAGCTTTATGTCCTTTTCCAATGAAGATAGCGTGTGTCGCGGTAACCAGAGGATTCGGTCTTTCGGCTGGTGAAACAATATTATGCTTATCGGATGAACGAGATTTTTATGTGTGGGTGGTTGGTCAAAAGATTTCGTCGTTTTACACGTACCGGCATCGAATGGAACGCTAAAAACGAAACTTTCTGGCTCTATCGAGTGTTGATCGACGGCACGTTTGTACCAAGACGATTCCATAGCTCTTGCTTGTTGTTCGGGAAACCAACTGAAAAGGAATACTCGACTGACGTAATTCTTGACCGATCTGACGCAAATAAAATCGTGCGATCATTTACGTACGGCTCCTCTGCGGTCTCATCGCTCTGTTGATGTTCGTGCCAACGAAAAAGTCCGCTTCTAGTTGCGATGAAGCTTCTCGTAACCCCGAATCTACCTTTCCCTTGGCTGTAAAAACAAACGTTTCGCGTTAGAAAAGAATTTTATATGATCATATTGAAATTGTCCTTTTTGAGAACACATTGAAAATTATTTATTGATCAAATTCGAAGTATTATAAGAGAATTACGAAAAGAAAAAGGAAAAACAAAAAAAATCATCTATCTCACGTTGCGATCACATTTTGTGAACACCCCTCCCCCTCTCACACGTCTTATCACATTTAATTGGTTTTATCACATTTAATTTAATTGAGACGATCCTTCGATACAATATTAAACTCATACCTTGATTTTTCTTTTTTTTCTTTTCTTTTTTTTCTTTTTTTTCTTTTTTTTTCTTTTTCTTTTTTTTTTTTTTTTTTTTTTTTTTTTGATTACTTTTCAGACCGTATAGGCTCGTCAGAAAATTCTCTAGGTCTTGATCGATTAGTTTTATATTCGAATAATATTACATAGGGTGTATAAAAAAGAAAAGAGAAGTACGCATCACCGTTTTACCATGTAATTTTCCTTTTGTCGACAACTTGTTAGAATCAAGTACAACTTTTTAGACATTTTTATGCA